CTAGACTTGCTCAGTTAGCCAATGACAGCTGGGTGATTCGATGTCTTAAACTTTCCGTGGTGTCGAACTGGCTGGAAAAGCGATGTGCGTGTGCCGGTTTGTGTGTTGTAATTTGATGTGATCTTCGGATAGCAATCTGTTTACCGATGGCCCAGCTTTGACGATATCTGGCAGGGCATGGCTCACATTTCACCATCTTCGAATGTTTGCTTGTTCTTCGCCCAAATGACTGTCTTACAATACTTTGAAAATGGGGAATGAATGTCCTTGAAAAGATAGCTAGCTTAAACTGATGTAAATGATCATTAGTCGAGTTGCCATCCTTATATTTCCTATAGGAGGCTCTGCATTGTCGACTACCGCGAACAATTTTAATGGAAATATCTTCTTTGTAGCTAGGAGATCCCAATTAACTTAGCTGCTACTCGTGCAACATTAAGCATTCCTCAGAATCCAAGACGGCGGCCGCCGCCATCTCGAATTTTGGTCCAGTTTTATTTTTCTCGATGGCTTGGAGGATTGTGTGACATCGTTTAAGAGGGTTTTTAAGGCAGTGAATCCTTTTATGCAGTTATTTTTCACGCATGGGGTAACATTTAAAGTCAGATTGTTGGTCAAAGGCCAAAGATGATCACGAATAGCAAAGATCACCTCATTTGGTCTGCATCTGTCGTTCGTCGTCTTTTCCTACTGACTGCAAGAGCACCGCTCACAGAAGCTGCGTGTTCTATATGCCATAATGATCTAAGCATGTGTTACATACACGAGGTATGCACTGTAGAAGACGCTTCTCACTTGGTTGGGTACGTGATGTCAAGTTGCCACCCTAATGCTTCTCATTTGCAACCATGCAATGGCAACTATCGCAAAAATTCCACGGATATCTTCTATGCAATTAATTAAATGTTGCTAGAAGGGTCAAATTAGCTTGATTGCTACTAGCGCAACTTTGCGCAGTTTTCATAATTCAAGATGACGGCCGCCGCCATCTTGAATGTTGACTGAGTTTCGAAGCTTTATCTTGACGACTTGGGCGCTGGTGTGATACAGTTCCTTTAGGTTTTTGACGGTAGCGAGTCCATTAGCTACATTTGTTATAAACTATAGAAATATGAACGTGTGTTGTGTGCACTACGAATGTATCTAAGGAAATCGGTTTCCGAAGTGTCCGTTCAGGAACTCGTTGCTGCCAAGCGATACGCGACCAGTGACATAGAATTCTGTCAGGACGTGATGGCTTAGCTCACAAATCATGGAACTGTAGCTATATATATATATATATATATATATATATATATATATATTGAGGTGTAGAAACAATGAAACAGGAAAGTATTCGAGAGCTCATATCGCAATTCTTCAAAAAGTTGCTCAAGTCCCAATATAGTGACCTTTTGGGGCCGGACTGTCTGTCGTCTAGGAAACTGTGTAAACGAAAAACAGGCAGTCCAACGCAGCTGGGCGTAGGTCAACCGGTACACCGGTATACCGGTATCCTACTCGTCGAGTGCTCTCGGGCTGACTCCAGGTAGTCGCTCAGTTTCCTGTGCGGCTTGCTGCCATTAAGCAAAAGACATGGAACAGCACGGCTACAGTGGGGTCTTTTGCCATTGAGGCTTTGTTCCAGGCCTTCCCGTTTGTCCTGCTTGTGATGCCGCCACCAAACGCCGTGTCCATAATTGCATTCACAACGGATGCCTTCATCAACGTCCCTACACAGCCCGGGACACTCCTGGGAGTGTGCATCATGCCCGTGTGAAGCTGCCCGTGCGTCATGGGTGTACATCATGGCCGTGCGGGTCAACTATGAGGTTGGTCCGGCGCTAAGGTTCGTTAGATTAGACGAGGTATGCAGTCTGATACGAGTGGTAGTCGGCTGTGAGTGGGTGTGCTGCATACTGAGAAGATTGAGAGCTTTTTCGAGACACACAAGAGTAGACAGAGGTGTGCCTGGCTGTCAGGCGGCGAGTCGACATCGGCGAGCCGAACACCATCAGTGTCTTGGACTTCAGCACAGAGCCCGCCACCAGTCGGTCTTGCTGAGCATTGTAGTCCGTCCAGGCCCGCTGGCTTTTCATTCTTGTGGACTTCCGACAGTCATGCCGCGTTTAACTGCTGACTGAACCTGACGCCAGTCGGCTGAATCCGTAATTCTTCAGCGGACAGAGTCTTTGCCAAGAGCTGAGGTGCACCTTGATTGAAAGACCCCTTGAAGCGCTACCGTTGCATGGGCTGGTGGTTCTTCGGAAAATTAGATAACATTCAAGATGGTGGTGGCCGCCATCTTGAATTCTGAGATATGATCAAGATTGCACAAACAGCGCCAAGCTTATTCGGCTTTCCTTATCATATAAAACATATTTCTATGTACAAAGCTTACGGAAGTCCACATTTCAGGGCCAACATTTTGATAACTTGACTATATGGTGGAACTGTTGTATGACTTACCATAAACAACGAGGGAGTGAATTTTAGCTATAGAGCAAACGTCCAACAAGAAACTGTTTAAACACCGTACATTTACCAGTGCATATTGAAAACTTGCATTAATCAATATATATGCAAAGGAAATTGTGAACAAGTCTGTTCTTCAATCTATGCGTGGTATGTAGTACTCGAGACGGTGATGTGTGATGCGCAGAATCGAGCCGACTTATCCGAAACGATTCACGTGTCCCCATATTGCCAGGAGAGACAGCGTTACCGCTGCCCCGTGGACCTGGCTCCCCATTTGCTGTTTGTGGTCAGCGGCTGGCTGGCTGGCAGGAGCTGTGACTCTGACGGCCGGCTGCCCCCGTCAGCTATCGCCGTGGATTGACTGGGGACCGCTTAGCAGGACCCCTGGGCGTCAGCTCCCGGGCAGCCGGCGGTGTAATTCCCCGACTGCGGGCCGGCGCAATGATGCGGCCACATTGGCGCTCAAGTAATACCGGCCAGCCTGATTACGTCACGAGCGGCCCATCAAGACCGCCGCACCGGCACGCCCACCGGTCAGCACTGCCGGGCGCTGCCGGTGCCGGCCACCGGAATGTAACCCGTCGCCCCGCGTCCGTTTAAGGTTGAAGTTTGACCGCTGCACTTGGTGTGCCTTGTTTGCCCTAGTCCGATGGCTTTCAATCATAATTCGGCCGTGTATCTAAGCTCTTCGTGGCGACACCGTCTGCTTTGAACTAAGGATTTTAGTGCTCTTACCAGCATGCTCATGCTACGATGGACGCTATACGATTAGGGCAATAGGCGTGTCCTAAAGCCCAAATCATCACCATCACGACAGTGACTGTGCTTTCTTGGTGCTGGCGTTGCTTGCTTTCAGGTTAGTGCGATAGTGTTTCCGGCGTGACCTCTGTGTCATATCAACATCAGTTCAATAGCTCCACCGTGGCGCTGGCGCATTGTCTTCATGCTCTCCTATGGTAAACAGCCGGCCTTGCCTATAGCATGACCGGTGGCGTAGCCAGCTGCGATTTACTTATCACGACTCTTCAGCGACTTTTGCCTTCAGCCCTCTGTGCTTTTTACAAGGTCTTCTCTGGCCGTCAGGTGGTCCAGTCAGGTCGGGTCGGGCTTCATCAGGTGAATCTTTCGGTTATTCCTGCCTTTGGCACTATCTGCTGCCATCTCAGTAGCGTCCTATTGCCAGGTTTGTTTTCTGTGTTTTAAGTTTGCCATGACATCCGCAACTGAAACGTAACAACAGAATACCAGAATTAAGTGTGGGCGCTTCTTGCGGCAGACAGCCTTTCTGTGAATGGCTTAGTCACGGGTACTTATTCGTTAATCTGGGCCACGAACAGAGCTGCGGAGTTACCACGCTGCCATTGCCCGCTGGCGTATGGTGGGTGCCGCGTAATGGATTCAGTATGCCCTGCAGGTTGGCCCACGCACTTCGGCTCTTCAGCTTTACTTCAGCTGTCAAGCGTACGTTTTTTTTTCAAACACATCGCACCATTCGACGAATACAATTATGTTTATTGAAAATGCCGCTCCTCCTTATGCTCGGTGGTAACATCATGGAACATATTGTCGTGCGACGTTCAATCGAACCTGAACGCAGGCGTATGCGTAAACACGGCCAAGTGATTTCACATAAATGATGTCAGTAGAATACGCTGAGTCTGCTATTGTTCGGCATCGGATATTCTCTGATAAAGATCTGCACGCTGAGATTTCACTGGCAAAAAGATCACGCAGGTGTTGACAGTTGGGGAAACTCAGCTCACCCGCGCTGAACGATGCGGATACTTCACGGGTACTTCGGTGCCCTGGTGGAATCATCGCATAACAACAACCAACACCACCAAGAAACAACAAAAATCAGATTCGTCTTTTAAGAACGCTGGGAAAAGCTGCGGACTGTACAACGCATAGTTGTGTATTTCATGTCACGCACAGATGTGAGCTATAACCATTCTCGTGTTCATAATGGAGGCGCCATGTGGATGCACGGGTGTTATGCATTGGGACATGGGCCATCAGAGCACGCAGCCCGATATGACATGTTGGCACTGCGTCGCTCCGTACGGGCGACAGCCAGGTGGCTGACGGTCTAGGCAGATCGGTTCACAGAGAACCGATGACACCGCCACCCTCGTCGGACGCCGTCGCATGGCCGCCCCGATCAACGGCGAATATCGCTTTCTCCGCATAGCAGGCGACTTTACGTTTCCATGTCGTGCGCCGACCAGTGCTTACAAACCATGTTCAAAGGTGAAGAGGGATTGCCATGAGCGTTTCATCTCGAGGACACTAGGACCCGCCACCCACCTAGTGCTGACAAGTAGCGCGGGGACCTCCCGGCCATCCGATCGGCTCTTACAAGTCTGGCAGCCCGCCAGCCTGACCGATACGTGCCAAACTTGTAACAGCCCAGCGGCCTGAGTTGCGTGTCAGATGGGCTCCGGCCGGCCGGTGATCACCGGCTGCCTGGGTAGGCGGCGCCCCGGACCGGCGGCGCTCCCACACCGATCACCGGCGGCGCCCCGAGCCGGCGGCGCCCCATACCGATCGCCTGCGGCGCCTCTGCACCGACCACCGGCGGCGCCCCGGGCCGGCGGCGCCCCTACACCGACCGCTTCAACCGGATCCGGTAGCGCTTGTAGCTGGTGGGCAGGTAGGTGTCGCTGCCGCGGCGGCCCAGCCGGATGCTGCTGGCACGGTTCATGCGATCGAACCACCGGCGGCCGAGTCGTAGGAAGCTAGGTCGGGTTACGCGGTCAAACCATGGCAGAACCGGCGGCGGCTGCTGCTCCCGCGGCCGCTGCGGCTGCGGCTGCGGCTCCAGCTCCGGCTGCGGCTCCGGGTCCAGCTCCTGGCCGGCTCCGGCGCGACCCAGGCGCACGAACGAGCTCCGCTTCTGCTCCCGCTGGCTGGTGAGCGCCGCCTCGAGGCCGCCACGGGGCCAGGCGGTGCCCCACGTGACCAGCACAAGGAGGCAGAGCAGCGCCAGCAGGGCCGCTGCCGCTCGCATGCCGCCTGCGAATCGAGGGCTCCGCATGAGGAAGACAGATTGGTACTGAATGTAGGGGGCGCAATTGGGGCCGTGCCATGCTCTGGTGGTTTCGGATGATGGTACATGATACTTCTTGGGAGAATGGTGAACATCTCAAATTATGCACAGCACACAAACTTTTCTGAATTTACTCCAATTAGGCCTCACAAACCATAAGGTCAAATTGTAAATTGTCGGGACCTGATACATCAATAAATGTTAACTCAGCAGTTAAAAGCGACTCCCATTTATCATTATTCTCTCAAAATAACGCATATGTCAGCCGGCCAAATACGCTTTGCAGTCATTGTCTTGCCAAGATTTAGGATTGAGACCCACATTAAATCTGTGATTAAAATGATAACATTCGGTGTTTATGATGAAAATCACCCACAATCATCATTCAAAATTTCAGAGGGAGAAAGGAAGAGAACAAAGCAAATCCTCATTATAACACTACTGTTTACTGATATGATTCAGTATTGAAATAAGTGCAGGCAATACGTAATCTACATGATTACCAAACAAACTTGTGTTCGACTCGAGCTGAACATTGAATCGGCTCATGAGTGAACCATTTTGGGGTGAGGCGTGAGCTGAGCCGGTTCACTGGGAAAAATGCCTCTTTGAGTCATGGGCCGGATCAAATTCCTTGAAAATTTTATGCGCTGAATCGTGAGTCAACCATTTCGAACAATGTTGTGTCAATGATTGGTATGGCTCAAATGAAAACGGCAACATGACGAAATACAGCATGCGCCAAACAAATTAACCTCCCATTTCAGAGCATTTAAGTGAACGGCATACAGCATTGGTTATAAAGCTTTTTGTAATGCCAGCAAAAAGCCTTTATCGTATTTTCTAACCAGCAAACACTGTATGGTTGATCCTAAATTCAAGTTTGCCAAATCTCAGACAGGAACCAGAGGCCACTACATGGTGCCTACATCCTGCATTCCCATAATCTATGCTAAAATCAGTGAAAGATTATCCTTAATCCGTGAAATGGGAGATCTGGTCACATTTTGCATTGTCAATGGCCACAACAATGAGCTAGTTCATACCTGAACCTTCATTCACTACTTCTTGAACTGCTGTAAGCGTGCTATTGCTGAGGCTACATGAAATTAATAGCAGCAGTGGGAAGATCATCTCGTCTCATCCGCGGATTTTATGTCGCAAAATGTGACGTGCCGGGGATGCCATCAATAACTATTTCGGCGCAACACACGACTCACAAGTGAAAACTCGGTCTATTAATTCAGTAGCCTTGGAATGCTAGTAAAATGATGCACGCCACTCCAATCTCTACGCAGCGCGAAAATCTGCTTTGATTCCTATCGAAACATAGAGTGACCCGATGAGACGAGTTTGAGGTATTCGGGTGGAAACGACAGTCGGCGCCTACGTTAGCTTATCCCTGGTTCAATTGTTCAGAGTTCAGTTTAGTTCAGTTCTTCAGAGTTCCGTTTAGTTCAGTTCAGTTCAGTTCAGTTCCCTGCTGGCTAGAAGACGCGGGTTGAGCTTAGTACATTCTTGCCGGGCTTCTGTGTGAGAAATGCAATGGTTATTCGTATACGTACAGCATATATATATATATATATATATATATATATATATATATATATATATATATATATATATATATATATATATATATATATATATATATACATATATATAATCATACCAGTTGTCATAAATGATATATTTGCTGTACGTGTATTAAATATACCATTTGTTACATTATTCGCAATAATTTTAGGTTCAGGTAAGTTTATTAGGTGTTTGTAATGTATGGTGGTCAAACGTCATTGCAAGAAATACGACGTTAAGTTGTTAAATTGTTAAATCACTGACGGCATGGTCAGTACTGGCTAGTGGAAAAGAGATTACTTATGTGTGAACGCACTTGGTTGGCAATTGACAGGTGCAGGCTGCCAACTGTCAGGTTTAGTGCAGTCGAGTTCCCACTGCTTGCTATCTAACTAATGGATCTTGGTCGTAGATGCCAGATACGCTATCCTAGAGCTGAGATTTGAGGGAAATAGTTGGTAGCAGGTTACAGGATAGGTATTGCTTGCCGCCCTGCATTTGGTAAGTTCAAACTACAAACTTGCTACTAGGCTACATATATATATATATATATATATATATATATATATATATATATTTCCACTGAGGCTACAGAAGGGTCTGGCGCTGAGCGCTGAACTCTGGTCAGCTCAGGCTGGTCTCAAGTGACGGCCGGGCACTCAGCCATGTGAAAACCGGCCAGCTCCATCAACACACCGCATCAAACCTGCAGATGTGGTGTCTGCTTTTTTTTTGGTGCGGCGCCGGCTGCCGCCGGCTGACAGCTGCCCGGCGACCGACCGCTCCTGGATCTCAGGCGCCCGGAGACCGGCCGCTCCTGGATCTCAAGCACCCGGAGACCGACCACTCCTGGATCTCAGGCGCCCGGAGACCGGCCGCTCCTGGATCTCAAGCGCCAGGAGACCGACCGCTCCTGGATCTCAAGCGCTCGGAGACCGACCGCTCCTGGATCTCAGGTGCCCGAAGATAGACCGGGGAGCAGGTCGTCTTAACAGCTAGGTTCCGGACAGCAGGCGGATAGAGGCACAGCCCGCCCTCGGTTACCAGGGGCGTCTGCTGACTGCTCCCAGTTTACATTAGAGCTGGGTTTTTAGAGGAGGCGTCTGCACTGGCGGACTGATCGTGTTCAGCGCCTCTGGGAGATGGGCTGTTGATGCCAGCCAACTTACCGGACAGAGAGCTATTGTGCCGACGAGTCAGCGGTACTCTACAGGCTGAAAAAACGTGCCACGCATTTGCCCATCGGCTGAGATGGCTCGCAAACAGCATCATTTTCGCGGCCCCTCCGGACTGCACGTCGCATTTGTCTCGCAACGGGCTGCCGTTTCCCTGGAGATTAACATTCAGACTAGAGATGCAACTTTCCAACCCGCCAACTCGCCAATATTTCAACCTTCAAGAACCCGCAGACTTTTCGTTTGGTAATGAGTCAGCTTTTGGGGGTCAAAATGTTTAACAAGGGAAAATTCATGTTTTGCTATCGAGCAGGAGCTAGGTGAGCCATTAATATAAATGCAGCTACATACTGTTCCTGGCTGTTATTGTGAGGACGTGGCACACCCGACCTTTCTTGGTTTTCACACAAACCATACCTCATAAATCACCATCAAGATCCATGATCAATGGAATCCATGAGAAGTTATGAGCTTTTCCTCGCTCTAGCTGCATTCAGTTGTCAGTACAGCCCGCAGTTACTGATGTACCAAATACAAAACACTTGTCAAAGCTAAAAAAGTGGTGGGATAGAGTTTGTCTATCCATGCCTGAAGATGACCACGACCATAGTCATTTATATCTGATACATTTCTTTTTTTTCTTTTTCTTAAATTTGATCCGAACCCTTTGAATGGATGGATTTTGGGAATCAGCGCTCACGCTATGCAGTGCTTGTTGTGTGAGCCCTGACCCCCACCATCCGATCGCGCAATTCCAGGCAACGGCAGAATTTAGTGGCGAAAGCTTAACGTACCGCAATGCTCGGCACGGTCCGTCCTGCCCTCTGACGTCAACCGACCTTTAACGCGGCCGCTGCCACCGGCCGCAGGCCATACCGGCCAAGGGCAAATAGCGAGCGCCCTGAAGCGACTCGAACCCACCCTGCCACGAATGGGTGGATCGGAAGGCAGGCGCTCTAACCAAATGAGCCACCGGGACGAACAAAATTTTCTACAGCGATTGTTATTATTTTTCCACATATTTTTAATTACAGCGTGCGTTCTGTCTGATTTGTCCATTTCTTTTAAAGCACCTCTCCAGTTGTGTGTAAAAATCATCTTAACATATGACGTCAATAAAACACCCGATAAAAAAGAAAAAAGCGGCCAGTAGGCTTTGCGAAATGTAGTGCGTGTTTTTGGAAATTATTTCTACCATGTTTCCTTGTTTTCATACAATTTTTCAGCGGCGTGTATCAATGTGCCTTATTTTGGTGACCTTGCTGAATGCCTTAATGACATCACAGAAGGGGCAAATATTCGTGGACCAAACATTATTGCTATCCCTGCTTTTACGAGAGGCTCACAAAAGGCGCTGATATGGTTGTGGGGTAGAATATGAATGGTAGTAGGAGAGAAATGTGGATTACTTCAAAGCTACCACGTGGTCTTTATTTGGTGTTGTTGCATGATATATCCACTTTATGACAGCAAATATCACATAGGAAACTGGCTCTGATTCTTCAAAGCAAGTCATGGAATCGTGGCAGTTGAGACGCAGCTGCATGATGTTTGCTTATGCCCAGTGTAATGAACTGAGGAGACTTCCCACGGCTTGACACGTCCAGCATTTTTACATTCGGTTCTCCCAAACTGCCCACCTCCGACCAGCCTTCCGGTACAGTCTAACCAACGGCAGTCTGGTTAGACTGTACCGCAATGCTGCTGTGCACGGCGGGTCAGCCGCGCGCCGCCATTCCAGCCTCGGGACGGCGCCGAGACTCCGCATCTGTTTACTGAAGCAACGGAGTCAGGTGTCACGCAATTGACGCCGACCTTGGAGTCTTGAATAATGACGCAAGAACAGCAGTATCGACGCGTCGGAGACTGGCCAGCGGGATGAAACTCTGCGTCGAGCCAGTCAAGCCGTAGCGGGCCATCTGACAGCCTTTCGGTTTCCGCTGTTTTAGGACGTAAAGGATGCGGAGTGATATGAGGGGCGTGTGGTTTTGGACACCGTAGTTCCTTTGCAACAGTTCATGTTGCAAAAAATTTCGGAGTGGAATGACAACGGTCAGAAAAGTAGCTTCGCAAAATAATTTATGGCAACCGTAAAAATGGCTCAACCGCCCCCAAAATACCCTAACAAACGAGTTTTAGTCACCTCTTTTTCTAAAATTTGTTGAAGTCCAAATTCGGAAGAGTCTGTGTGACCGAAGCCCCCAACCGAATAGAAAGCTACAAGCTGACAACAATGCAACCCCCTTATGCCACGTTGCGCATGCGAGGTGCCACTTAATGCTTTTTCAGATGTCAGCTGAACCTATTTCCTTCCGATGGTTTGTTTTTAAAAGGTTTGACTTTCTTGCACCTGCCAGTAAAGAATCCATATGTACTAGCTGCGGGCTTTTCATATTGCACTCTATTCGTAGATGTACTTCAGTTTTTAGATGCCACTTGACCTGATCTGGTACTAGGCCTGTAAGCGTGCGAACGTACGCATCTAGCGTGTAACCAGCATCCTGATTTCCGTAGTTTGCTTTGCTTATATCACAATATTGCACAGAATGAGAATAAATAGATGACTAAAGAATTATTGAAACCTGTGACCTTCGAACTCATGCGTAACTTCATGCGTGACTTACAGATGAGCGATCTGACTCGCGCTGGGTTCGCGCGGTAAATGGGTTTGCGATTAAGGTCAGCTTGATCAGTTGGCTACTTCCAGAGATATTCGATGGGGACGTTAACCATTACAGTCCAGGTAATAGAAGGTAGGAAATACTCCGCCGATGTAGTGTTAATGGCCGCTTTGTACCAGCCCCACCCCTTTTTACAATGGATGCGTTAGTAACAGCTCAGTCTGCGATTGGCAACAACTTGTCCCATCCGCCTCTTTCGCCTCTCTTTTGTTCAAGCGCATGCCATACATGACTGTGGGAGTTTTGCCGGCCAAACTCGGTTAAAACAAACGTTTCAAATCTGCAGTTGTCACCCTAGTTTACGAGAATTGAACTGTGTTGAAAAGTTACCGGCAGTCGGGTAGTTTTACTACTGCAACGAGAGTAGCGCCCAGAGCGACCAAAACTTAGGCGCGCAGCAACAACGTTATGGCACAGCGTTTGAGCACGCCTGAACTGCAGCTTCATATCATCGCTTTGTGATGTCTGCACATTGACGGCTTGCTTATGAGACGAGCCGACAGACGGTGGCCTTCCTACAGACGGTCTCACACGGGCGACTGTACCCCCAGCGTTATGCATTTGCGTGACTGCATCCTAGGCGTACAGCACAAACTTCCCCTGCGCGACTACGTCCCGACTCTGGTAATCGGGCGCGGTGTATGTCTCACTTGTGTGAACGGCCCCCTCCGATCCTCGATATCAGGCACAGCGTAGGCCCTGCCTGCGTGGCCACGTCCCGGGCGCTGGGGTCAGGACGGCAGCAAGCCTCACCTGCGTCGCTGCACTCGGGCGGCACCGTCCGGCCGGCCGAGAACGGCAGGTATGACCCGCCCGGCCGCGGCCCACTGCTTATGTACAGCCACCGGCGGCCGCCCTCGCGGCGCTGACACGCCCACGGCCCGCGGTCCACTCCTGGCCGGCCGTCGCCAGGACTTGCGAGCTTCTGCTGTACGTACACAAGCCGCCCACGCCCCAGCCAGGCGTGACACTCCCAAGTCCGTCCGGCAGCTTCAGGCGGCGCCGAGGATTCTCAATGCACGGTCAGTTCATCCACTAAATGTAGTTGTACTTCATCAATTTCAAGGATTTGGTCTTAAGTTCTCCCATAGAGCGATGAATTGCTGCTCGTCTCTTAAACACGGATAAATGATCTCACGCTTTGAATGAGATGGATTGTTTTGGGATATCATATCTTTTGATTTTTTACAAGGGACAATCGCGTGGCAAACTGGTGAAGTGAAATATGAACATGCTAAAAATTCCGCCCAATACGCCTTAACCTGCCGTCATGTTAACCGATGTCGCCATTTGCGGTCAGAATAACTCCTTTTAATAGCCCACCAAGCCCATGAGGAGCATGACCGTTATCAAAATGAGCGCTGGTGGTCTTCAGAATGTCTTGAGGGCTCCTGAAAAACTTGCCTAGCTCTACATAGACGTAAACCTCTATAAGCATTGATTTTTTACTACCAAGTGCAAGATCAGGTCTCCTATGAATGCTTACACATGTTAAGTGCACTGCCTAAGGTCGTCTTAGCGTTTGAAAATGCGATATTCAGGAATCTTAATTATGGATGGGGCTAATCGTAGCATGTCAACTGTTGCAGCCTGATCTGACTGTGGCATGTATGATCCCGATGTCAGCTCGGAGCTGGGAGAGTCCGAGGGGAGGCATCGGGAGGGCATGAAAACCTCTCTCCGCCTGCATCAACCGGTATGGCGATCTAAAGCTTCAGTAGCTGTCAGGGTCATCGAAAGCGTTTAGAAAAGAAACGCAGCTTATTCATCCGTCAGCTCGCCGCCCCATCAGGCGCGGTATTAGTCCGCGGCTTTTTGGCGTGCTGTGGGTCAGACTAGGTGCAGTTTCGGTAGCTGCAGATTTTCGGAAAGACTTTCGTGGAGCCTTTACACATGCTGATTTCTAAAACCTTAGCACATTTGAGCGGTGACTAATGTCATGTTCTGATGTCCCTATCAAGGACCCCAAGACAAAAGATTATGTTCCACATCCGCTCACCAAAAACGATCAGGATATAAATATTATCGAAGTAAAGCTTGATCTGACTGAACAGTAGTTAACTTGTGCTTGTGCTTAGTGTGCTTAGTATAAATACAGCTCGGCCATTGTTACGACAATGAGATGCGCCTTTTTGCTGTTATGTACAAATGGCATTGCAAAATCAATCTCGATGATCAATAAAATGATCAGCATGTTGCTTGACCGAGTTTCATCATGTGTCGCAGTTATGTGCGAGTATTAGTTCACTCGTTGGTGTCCTCTAGCAGAGGTGTGAATAAAAAGCATTCCTTGTGTTCCAAGGAATGCTTTCCAAAGCATTCCAAAAGTGTTCCTTAAGCCTGTATTGCTCCATGAACCGCGACAACTGCAACTTGTATGTGCAAGACATGAGCACATTTTTGTCATGCATTGCCTTCAGGTATATGTTCTTTAACAAACACCCGGGTGGGGTGGGGGGGGGGGCGCAATTTGACCCCCGAATGCTTTTCGAAAATTGTTTCCGAACGGCGCTGTATGGCCACGCCAAAGGTGTGTACTGTCGCAGGAAATGCAAAGACTTTCTATGTGTTGGAAATTCCTAAACCGTGGAAAGTTTCAGGTACTTATTGGATTTTTCCCAGCAATGCCATCAGTAAGTACCGCCAACTTAAGAACTTTAAGTATGTTGTTTATTAAGCGGGGGAAATGGATAAAAGTTGAAATCTGTTTGGGGATCGGTTCAACCCATATTTGGTCGCCTTCCCTCTCAGCTATAAGTCCAAATGGACACCATCATGTTTAGAATGGATGAGCTTAAGTGTTGATGATGCCGTCCATCTGTTTTATCATTTTGTATTCGCCACCACTGCAGACTTCATTCCTGTCGTTGAGCTCCGAAAGAAATTTCCTCCACGGTTTGACCGGTCCGTTCGAGACTTGCTTCGTGACAGGGAAGTGGCTCACAGACGTAAGAAAGCGTTTCCGACCACCGAAAATATTGCTAGGCACCGTACTGATAGAGCCGACTTTAAAACAACAGCTGATGCCAAATATCGCTAAATCCCTAAATTTCGAAGAGTATTTGTTGGGTTTAGTGCAAGACTTTAAGGACAACCCGAAACGTCATTGGTCCTCTGTTAAGTCCTTGAAGGTATCAGCGTACATATCTCCCGTTCTTGAGTACGATGGCACTGTGTACAAGGGTGATGAGGAGCGTGCCAGGTCTCTGAATGTGTGTTTTGCTTGTAAGTTATGTGACCTTGACGTTCATATATTGCCTGATCCACCTTTGCTCGATGCGTCTGGACTAGACAGCTTTGCCGTACCACATGGCCGTATAGCACACCTGTTACGCGATCTCAGTGCACACAAGGCCTGTGGTCCCGACGGGCTCAGTGCCCGAATTCTTAGGGAATGTGCCGAGGAGCTATTCCGTTAGAAATAATATGCAAGCTTCATCTAAATTCTGGCGCCTTCCCCGCCATGTGGAAGCAAGCGAAGGACATTTTGGTACATAAGAACGGGTCCAAAAAGCTGCCTGAAAATTACAGACCTGTGCCGTTGCTTCCTATCTGCTCAAAAATATTAGAGAAAGTTGTGAGGGATAGCTATTACAGGTTTGTCTGCCCGCCCTTCTCCCATCCCAGCACGGATTCCTTCCCAAGCGCTCATGCAGCACAAACCTTTCATGTTTTCTTGAACACTGCTGGACATCTATATCGAAAGGTAAACAAATAGATGCAATTTACACCGATTACTCTTCACCATTCACCAGCGTGAATCACCTTCTTCTGCTACACAGGCTTTGCTATTCTTTTTGCATCACTGGCCGTGCGTGTAGCTGGCTGGAGTCATACCTCAGCAATCGTTCACAACACGTAGTGCTGAACGGCAAACAGTCTGGCTGGATTCCAGTGCGATCTGGTGTCCCGGAAGGAAGCATCCTAGAACCGTTACTGTTCGCCCGCTTTCTGGCTGATGTTCCGGACCGAATCGAAAGTGAGTGCCTTATGTACGCTGATGATGTGAAAATGTATCACCGAATCGACAAAGTAGCGGATTGTCTTACACCTCAGGCTGATTTGGATCGCCTCTGTGAATGATCCAAAAACTGGGTACTGAAATTAAACCCAGCTAAGTGCAATACCATCTCATTCACCCTCCGCACGTCACCTGTTCACTACTCGTACGCACTAGACGGTCACCGCTTGGACAGCTGTCAGCAGATTCGCGATCTTGGCGTCGTGCTGGACACCATACTCACCTTTGTCAATCACATAGATTCAACTGTCTCAAAAGCAGATAGGCTGCTGGGCCTTCTCATGCGAAGCGTGCAAATGCCGTCGTGCCCTCTGCAGACGCGGTCTTATCAGAAGGTTTTGCTTTGTGCCTAAATAAACAATAAACAATAAACAGTTGCCGTAGTCAGTTTTACAGGTCAGGCATGTGAGACCATTTATAGAGTACGGTAGCGCTATTTGGAGCGGTGCTGCCGTTTCCCACCTCGCCCGGTTCGAAAGACTACAACACCACTTTCTCATATGGTTGGGACCGAGTAGCCAGTCTCGGTGTCCTCCACTGGATTCTTCAAAACATCATCTATCAAGGCACGCGTCACCCAGTCTGACATCTTATTTCTATACAACCCATTTCATCACACGCTTGACTGCGCTCACCTGACATCACTGTTCAGTCTGGCTACACCCGTCCGGCGTTCTCGGCATATCGGCCTTTTCCACCAGCCATTTGCAACGGTCAACACCGTTAAAAATCGGTTTGTCGCACGACTACCCGCTGTCTGCAATAATTTTGTACAGTATTTTCCTTCAACGGACTTTTTCATCAAACAAAATAATTCCGATCTGGTTTGCTTAGGTTCGCCGGCACACATGGAACATTTTGTTGATGACTTGATGCGCGACTGTGTGTAATGTGTATGTGTATGTGTGTGTGTGTGTGTATGTGTGTGTGTGTGTATGTGTGTGTGTGTGTGTGTGTGTGTGTGTGTGTGTGTGTGTGTGTGTGTGTGTGTGTGTGTGTGTGTGTGTGTGTGTGTGTGTGTGTGTGTGTGTGTGTGTGTTTGGTTCGGTGTTTTATTTGTGTGTGTGTCGTATATTTATTGTTCTTAAAACTGGTCTGCTTCCGTAATTGGGCATTTGCCTGTGGAATGCTTATGTACTAAACAATCAACAATCAACAGTTGCCGTAGTCAATTTCATAGTTCGGGAATTTTGTTCAGATGCCTAAACCTCACAAATGTTTTCAGGTGAATCATGCTTTGTGTGTTGCGTAGCACTGATAGCGGACAGAATGTGAGTTTTGCATTCTTTTGGTAATTTTTAAGAATCGTATTGACTTGATGCTAAGAAAACATTCATTTTCCGGATAGTAACATATTGATATGGTGGCATGCTGGGCTTCCATGGAGTTCTATATCAAGTGACCTCTTGTTGGTTGGGCTGCTTACTGACATTTTAGTGAAAGTTGCACCTGACATTTATATCCACGCAAGTAAAAATAAAAATTGCATGTGCTGTATCTCCTAACACCTATATATCTGCTAGTACATACATGTTCCGGTGTGTTATGACCTTTGGTGGAACAAGTGCGTGAAGTAAAGAAAGTCAAACTAGTAACAATATGCTGGACGGCAGAGATAATTTCGTGCGTCATTGATAATGGTTCTGTACAATTAATGCTGCATGGCTTTTCCCACAAGGCGGCCCAAACATCGCGCAGAAGTGAGTCTGTGTTATACGTAGCTCGGTTCCAGCAGTGGTGACGCATCATACTTGTACGGTGTT